AATGAAGCACTGCCTGGCCCGTGCCATCCTCCTAATTGTTACGCTTGAGCTCATTTGTGCAGCCACTGTGTCAATGCATTTGGTAGGGAGTCTTTGCAGTGTTTGCAGTTCCTATCTGTACCAGTGTACATCCTCTGGTCTAGCCAGACTTGCAAGGTAGAATTGGATCATGATAGTGGGGGAGGAGGAAACATTTAGGAACTAGAGGAAAGTTGTATGTTTCATCATTGCTACATAGCACCCTGCTAACTGGCTCGTCTCCTCCCCAAGACCCTTCTGTAAGGGGATGCTCAGTGGCCTACAAATAGGCTATGGGTCTCTACTCTGCACTCCCCACCTTATTCACTATGATATGATTTTTTGTTCTTTGTTTGTTGAGGTTTTTTGTTTTAAATCATTTTATTGGGGGCTCATCCAACTCATCACAATCCATACGTCAGTTGAATGAAGTGTTGAGTTTTTACTTTCTTTTTGTAAGTTTCTGTATATCTCGTCATGGTCAGGTTTCGGCTTATAGTCAGATGAATTAAAAATACAATTTCTGTATATAAAAATACAGCATTTCTACTAACAACCACTGCTAAATATGGATAAGCCTTGATTGTTAATCACATACTGGGTTCAGATTTTAATAATATGCATATTTTATTCAGCTGCTCTTAACACTCAAAATTCCAAGATTACTCTTTGGATAGGAGAGAAGGGTAGAAAACATTATCATTGTATCCCTTAATGTCCATGATATGTTTTATGAAATAGGACACTGTGTGATTTGTACCCCATAATACATACAGGCAGTCCTTCCTCAGCTTATGAACGAGTTCCATTCCTAAACCTCTCTTCAAGTCAAATTTGTAAATACCGTATATACTCGAGTGTAAGCCAACCCGAATATTAGCCAAGGCACCCAATTTTACCACAAAAACTGCATTTAAAAATGTGCTGAAAAAACTCGGCTTATACTCGAGTATATACGATAAGTTCAGGTACATTTTATGTCTGCTATCAGTTAGTTAGATGTTTGTTTAGTATGTAATGTACCTTTCCATGCATAAAAGCCATTAAAGAAATACTTCTAGCTACACTAAAACGTTTTGACATAATAATATAGTGTTAATAAGGTTCAACTTTGTTATTACATACCATCATATGCTCCTTGAGTTTTTAATATGAACCTGTTGGGTGTATATGTGAACAGCTGTTACCAGAACTGACCAGAATGGACATTATGTGACACATATCTGTACTTAACTAATTTACTGCTTAAAGTTAATATATGTGACACTAACTTAGGAGAAATATAGAGTAAATACACATTTGTACTTTTAATTAGACTTTTTTTCCTCCTTGAGAGTTGTTGAAGTTGAGAGAACTTTTAAAAAATCACTACGAGTTTTATGTGTAGTGACTAGTTCTCATCTGATTGCCACTGTCCAAGGTGTTATGCTGTATAACCTGTCCAAATAAATATGCTCTTCTAGAAAATAATTTTCTAAATCTAGATGTTGGATTTATAATTTAATAAATTTTATACATAAATTATTTTAATTAGATTTTTCTCTTCTGTGTTATATTAGAAACTCCTTTTTTTGGAAACTACTTTTTTTAACCTGTGAAATATCTTGCCCTGTAAAATGGTTAAGACTAAATAATATAGAAATAATAAGATTTTTCACTTAAAGAGTTGATGACCAAGAGACCTAAACTAAATCCATTTCCATCATGTCAACTCAAACTCATAGTGACCCTGAAGGACAAAGTAGAATTGCCTTACAGGATTTCTATGGCCAATCTTTACCGAAACAGACTGCCAGGGTTTTCTTCTGAGTTCAAATCACCTGCCTTTTGGTTTATAGCTGAGTGCTTAGCCCCTGCACCACCAAGCTCCTCTAATGACCCTAGACATCTAAATTAGTAGTTCATGTAGAGGCTTCAGTCTAATACACTTATAATTTATGATTTTAAAAATAATCAGTCTAGTAGGACAGCCTAAAGGGTTTATCAGAGTGTGAGATCAATGATTTACATCTTCTCCAGATAAGTATGTACCTCCTCTTCTAGAATTAATGACCTGGATTGGGATTAAATATCTCAACCAACACTGATAGATTCTTGTCTTAATATCTTTTTCAAATTGGAATCTTCAATCACAGTTAATGGTCAAATAAGAGTTTGAGAATTTATTTAATCCTGTTCTCCTTTATCTTCTCCCATAACCACATCTAACTCGCTGTAAAAAAAAAAAATTAAGATTGTGTATTTTTGAAAACCTAGTTATTCCCTGGCTTCTAAAGTAGGAACGCGAACCCAAAGTTGTCTTCAGGGGTCAGGTGAACATTGTCAATAAGAAAGGAGTCCTCCCACTCAAATACTCCCTCAACACAAGAATACTTTCTTCTAGTAAATTGGCATTCTATGATGCTCACCTTCCCGACACAACCGCTGAAGACAAAGCGGGTGAAT